CAAGTGATTGCAAAGACCATGGCCTGTATCAGGCACACCTTAGTCTCCAGAGTGACATCATTGCTCTTCGCTATTTTGCAGAGGTCCCTAACAGAAGACTTTCCCATCACAATACATCTTTTAATTTCTTGGCTGCTGGTGCCAAGAGTGTTGACTGTGAAGCCAAGTAAACTAAAGCTGTTAACAATCTCTTCACCATCCATCCTGATGTTGCCAATTGGCCCAGTGGTGATAGTCTTTGTTTTCTTGTTATTGACCCTCGATCTATATTGAAGGTTGCAGTCCTTAACCTTCCCCAGCAAGCGCTTCAGGTCCTCCTCAGCTTCAGCAAACCATGTTGCATGACACAGATTGTTGTTGAATCTCCTCCAATCCCAATGCCATACTTCTCCTCATACAGCCCAGCCTCCCAGATAATCTGTTCTCTTAGGTATTTGTTTTGTAGCTTAGTTATGTACACCCTTGCTACTAGCAATCAGGAAATCAGGAGATGTATTGCAATGGGAAAGTCTGCAGTCAGAGACCTCTCCAAATTATTGAGGAGTGTCGATGTCAGTTTGAGTACTAAGATGCGTCTGATTCTGGCCATGGTCTTTCCAGTCACTTCCTGTGCATCTGAGAGCTGGACAATGGATAAAGATAACAGAAGAATTGATGCCTTTGAATTGTGGGGTTGGAGAAGAATATTGTATATCCCATGGAGTGCCAAAAGAACAAACAAGTATGTTATGGAGAAGGTGTAGCCAGAGTGTTCCTTGGAGGCAAAGATGACAAATTCACCTCACATACTTCAGATATATTGTTCAGAGAGACTATTATCTTGGAGAGGGATATCATGTGAGGGTCACTGAAGGAGACCCTCAAACAGGTTGATTGGCACTTTGCTGCAGTGGGTTGTAGTGTGTCAGGAAGTATGAGCATGGCACAGGATAGGACAGGTTTCATGTCTATTCATAGGGTAGATATAGATGGTACTCGACTCTATGGCCCCTAACAACAACAATGTATATACTTGCTAATTTATAATTTGCTTTTTTATAAGTCCAGCAGTTGTTCGTCAGTTTGCTGTACTGGGGTAGGTTCTACTTCTAAAACAGACTAGGTAGTAGGATTGGCCATCCACATCTGAAACGACAGGGTTTGCAAAGTCCTTTGAACAATAATACCGAAGAGTTCAGATTGGATATCACTCAGAACAAGGAGAAATAGGTGCAAACATCCATTAATGGCTATCACATGTAATGAACGAAGTAGGGATCTGGGAAAACTGGAGCTTGTGAAATGGAATGCATAAAGAAGGATGAATACAAATAAGAGTTACAGGGAGGACAAGGCAAAGGAGTGATAACATCAGTATTGTGGTTAATGGGATTACAGGAGTGAGGGAATTAAAAAGCAATTCATAGTCTTTCATTCAAATAACAATTTAAAAAGAAAATAAGAAAGACTGTATAAGAAATACATTTAATCATTACTTTAAGTTTTTTTTAATTAATTTTAATGAAAGTTTAGAGACGTAAGGTTTCCAAGCATTCATTGTTGTACTTTTCTCCCTGCCCAGCCCCGCCCCTCTTCACTCTTCTTGAAAAGTAAAACTCTTTCATTATTATGCAATCCCTCCCCCCAAGTCCACTCCACTGTGCAGCCTCCATTCTGGACT